CTTGTATCTTGAAACTTGATATAAATACCTGAGAAACATTTCAAGATTATACTAGCTGAATTCTAAGGTTGGATTTTAGTTGTGAAGAAAATTTAACATTGAAGGCAAATTGTCCTGATTATTAATTCCAGTGTTAAAAGTAATACTGAATAGTCAGTACTGTCATATATAATAGCTAAACGAACAATAACTCTGAACTTGAAAAAAAAAAAAAAGAAAATATTGAAGCGTCTACTTCCAGATGATACAAAGTCAGTCAAAAGCTAGTATATGTAGTCAGCCTTTTTTCTTTTGCTAATATGATTTATGGATAATGAAGGAAGCTGTGAAGAAATGAAAAAAAAAAAGAGTGAATAAATGCATGTTCGCTACACGTATGTCGTTTAATAGGGCTATAAGCTGCTGCCTGTGGAGTATCATTTCAAGTCAGCCTTTCTTCACATGCTTTCAGATGAGTTAATTAGCAGACTGTGCTTATGAGAAGTGAATCTTCTGTTAATTTTATCAATATTGCCACTTCATATAATGTTCATCTTCCTATTCAGGTCCAAAAAAAGTGCTTTCTTAATGACAAGTTTGAAGAGTAGGAATCAGCCTGTCAGCAGTTCTGTGAATTCAATGAGGTCAATGAACTCGACCTTATTAAAATTAAACATTTTTCCATTATGCTGTAGTTTAGCATTTTTGTGCAGCCAGCCATACCGTTTCAGTATGTGTGACACCGGTTCCTGACTTTGTCTCTTGCTCTCTAACCATCCTGAAAAAGGGAGAATTAAGTGGATTATAGTGTGTGGAAAAGCGTAGGAAGCATACCCACAGGCTTCAACAGCAGAGGAGGGTGGTTGTAGTAGGTAGTTTGTTCTTTCCTTGCACTGTACACTGCTGGTTTTGTCTATGCCAGAACTTAAGCAGTATAACCAGCAGTTTCACTGGTATGCTTCTCAGCTACTCTTGTGTTTTAAGAAATTGGTTTAGAACCTGTCTGAGTACTTCCAAGTGAGAAAAACTTTTTAAAAGGATGAAGTACTGAACAATTTCCAGTTGAAACTTCATTAAAATCTGTGAAGTTACAGTAGTATAAAAGATGCTACACAGACTGAAAAGTGTGCTTGAAAACTGTGATCTCCATTAGTAGCAAGCCCACCAGTGCACTTAAAAGGACTTATTTTTTTCATCACTAGTTGCTGGGAGATCCCTCGTGGTTAAAACTTGACTTGCCTGAGCATCAGGCCTCTTCTTCATGAATGTGACTTGTGTATTGCTGTGTAGTTTGCACACAAATTTGAAATCGTCCTCTAATTCTGAAAAGTATTCTTCTTTTCACATCACTATATAGATGCCTTTGTGATGTCTGCAAGACTAAAACTTTTACTGTATGGTGATGTTGAATATGAATTACCTAATAACAGTAATTATGAAATGGCTGGTTGCCTAAGGGAGGGATACTTTTGAGCTGGCAAACAGATCTTTGAGAATGCTTGTCTATGATACCAGTGATTTTGAAGACTTTGTATTTCTTTGTTTTTTTGACAGTGGTTGGTGTTAGGAGTTGTCCAACCCAGCGGTGTGGTGGAGGTGAGGCTGCTGCAGCTCTGTCCCCCGGGTCCAGCCGGGAGCAGAGCTGAGCATCTACTCCCCGCGGGCAGGCGTGCCCACAGCGCGTGCATGCACGCCTGGCCACGGGGTCAACCCAGAGAAAAAAAGGGCTGGCACAGCCACCGGCAGCACAATCCTGCTCCCTTCTCTGGCTGACCAGGGTTAAGGGTTTTTAGTGAAAATATTTTAATGTGTACAGTGTAGATCCCTCCAGTAACTGGCCTTAGACACTGTCCAGGAACTTGCTCCTGATCCTCTAGTCTCCCCTCGTGCTGGTCTGGGCGTGCAAACCCACGAGGCTTGCCGCTCCAGTTCAGTTGCTGGTACTTGAACCCTCCTGGACAGGTCTTTCCAGTTACTGGCCTTAGCCTGGTGGCAGCTGGTCACAGGATTGCCTCATGCAAATGGGTCTTTTGGATAGCTGGTCCAGACCTGTGACCTTAGTATTAGCTAGCCCTCAAACTCCAGATTCTCTGGTGGCTAACTTAGACCTTCTGGTCCTTCCAGTAGCTGTCCTGCAGACTCCAGTCCCTTGTGGCTAGGTTAAGAGGGTTTCTTTCAGTAGCTCAGACCCTCTGATCTCTGCAGAGTCTGTCCCAGCTGTGTGGTCTGGCTGATACCTGGCTCCCAGGCCTTTTGCTCTACTTGTGGGCTAGTCTGGCTTGGTAGTTGCTAGCAATTATGTGCACCGACGTTCACGCCCACGTGCTGTGTGCTTGTCTCTCCAGTTTGTGGCACTGCAGTCTCATGGGCCCCAATGACCCACGGCCATCTTTTGATGTCTTGGCACTTTGACCTCTCTGTACGCTAAAGCACAGGGCATGGAGCCCCCTGTCATCCAGGAAAACAGAAATTTGGTTTAATAAGGAGGCTGGTGATAAGGCACACAATGTGGCCAGTCCTACTGACTGGCAGCAACTTGTTTACGTGGGGCTGGACCCTCTTCTTGTTTTTCTTCTCCCTGTTCTTGCATTCCCATTCCTCCCCAGTCCACCTTGATCCCATAGTGAGCCTCACACCCCTGCAGGCAGTCCTAAGGTGCTCTGCAGAGCCTCTCCTGTTCTCATCTGGTGGATCTTTGGCCAGGCCCATGGGCTGGCTGCTCTCCTGCATTGGAGCTGTGTCAGGGTGCTCTGTGCCTGGGTTAGATGTTAGGTGAAGGAAATCCAGCAATTATTTTCTGCTTTTTATTTGTGGATACTGGCCTTTAATCACATAACCTGTAATAGATGTGAGCAAAATATCCCTCCCTAATGCTGAAAGTGACTATTCCTGTCTGACGAGTAACATGGCTCAGGTAACAAGGACTGTGCCTGTTTGATGAACAGGTACAGTGTGTCTCCTTAGCTTCTTAAAGCACTTGTGGCACTTATTTATAGTCTAAGCTTTCCTCAGGTTGTATTCAAAGTTAAAAAAAAAAAAATGTTCATGGCATTTTGAATGATCTTATTGTGAATAACAAAAAGATGGTGTCCAATGATTCCAGTCTCTTAATCCTTTGTATGTGAAGGCTTCATGGAATATGGTAGCATGGGGTCAGTTGAGAGAAGCTTCTGTTTGTTGGCAGGAGAAAAGTCTTAGTCTGACATTAGGTAAATTGCATATGTATGTATCCTAGTAACATTTTTGTTTTAAATGTGAAATTTATGAATCAAATCCAAGGCTGACAACCTTGTTGTGATGCTGAATAGGATATTGAAAAGGCCTAATATGTCAGAGTAATGACTTAGGCATAAATTCAAGCTTGCCTCTTGCCTTGGTAGTCTGGATAGGATGGTAGCTAAGAAAACACAGCTCTTGACAGCTAGAAGAGAAATCGCCTGTAATAATAATAGTAAGATAATAATCTTCCAAACCAGGGAACTGTTTTTGAGAGATAGTCTATTAATTTATCCTGAAAGTAGTGAGTTACTTCAAGAAGGTACACTGTGGAGATCATAAAGATTGTTCTTCAGATAAGCACAAGGTCTTAATGTGCTTTGAAGTTTTTAAGAAACTTCAAAAGCTACAGAAATTAATGTAAGAAAGAATCTGGCAGGGTGAACTTGTGGATTTATACCATTTCCTTTCCCCAGAGGAGTGCAGATATCCCAGTCACAATCTACATTATCCTTTTTTTGTACCTGGATATTTATTTGTGGAGACCGTTTGTAAGTCATGAGGTAGAATTACTTCACTAATTCTTGCAAACACAACTATCTACAGGATGCAAAGATTTCCTGCCATCTCTACCAAAAAACTGCTCCACCCTCCTCAACACTTAATGGGGCTTTGTGTGACACTGCGTTTTTATCAGGTCATTTTTCTCAAGTGTTGAAAAAAGAAGAAAGACAGTTTGCCATTTTCATTACTGCATTAATGTATTAAATCTGGTTTTTGCAAAACATTGGCCTTTACAGATACCAGAGAAACCTACCGAGATGCTGATTCATTGCAAACTTGCAGACCCTGCTTCCATTATTCTCTGAGCTGCAGGGATTAAATACCTTTTCATCATGAAGACTTTATGTGGGTTGTCTTCCATGTCTTTCATTCACAGATGAAACTTTCAAAGGAGGATAAACACTATTGTCATTGTGTCACCAGGGGAGGAGGAGGGAGCAGAAGAGGTCACTTGAGTATACACCTTGCTTTGGAAGAATCTGCTTATTTCAGATTTTAAATCTTGATGTTGATTTCCTCACCAGAACCTTTGAAAGCACAATTCTATTGCTCTTTTTTAATTATTTCCTATATTACGGTTGCATAAAATGTAGTAGTGGACTAGTAAAACCTTTCTTAGTTGTTAGTGTGGCACAGGTCAATAAATTTAGTCTTGTCATTAGTATGGAAGAGGAAAACTTGTCAGATGGGACAGTTATTTCAGTATTGCATTAACCTTTTGTTATGGAACAATGGCATTTGTTGATGCTGCAAAGCCCTGTTTTTTTGTTAAAAATCAGCTTTGAAGTTTAGCAGCAAATAGAGCATGGATGAATAGGGATTATGTTTAGATAGACAATCTAACTTTGAAAATAAATGTTCTGCTTGTTTCTCTACTGGAAGTAGACAAAGGTATGGCAAAGGTAAAGGAGTTCTTTCCAGCAGTGTTGCCTTTCACTCCATTACCTGTGGACTTGGACTAAGCTGAGAACATAGAATGATCCTCAAAAATCCTAGCCCCTCTATTTTTCTCAACCTGAAAATATATGGAGAGGAAAGGCTAAAGGATGAGTACTCTTAGTCCTTTAAAGAATCCATCTAATACCTCCTTGTTTTTATTACCCAAGTTCTGTTATGTAGCCAGTCTTCTGCCAGCTAGTTAAGTATTCAAGTTATGTTTAAGCTAGAAACCAATCCATTTAACTTTGCTATAAAATCAGTAACATTTATATAGGTTGTTTTTGTCTTATCCTGTTAGGTGTAAGAATTTGTCTGTGTCTTTCTGGAATTCCTATTGGATGCTGCCCTCTGATGTTTGTGGAATGAACTGCTTTTGGGAAGCTGCTATTAGGTAGGATCTATTATTAATTAGTACTTTATTATTTGATTGCAGACAGGTATAGGTGATAAGTATTTTTGGCTGTTTAGCAAGGTGACAAAGCAGAATATTTTGATTGCTTCATATGCATTTCATCTGCTTATATTCTGGTTGCAATTAGCTGGGCTGTCTTCTGTGTTTAAAATTGTAGACTTGAGTGTTATTACAAAGAGCAGGTTCTTTTTCAATTATGTTGCTTCATTAGAGAATTGCTAACATTGACAAAAAGTCTGTCTGAATATAATGTCAAAAGTTACTGATGAATTATTTTTTGTAAATAAAACCTGCTGCACAGTAATATTCATGATGTAAATTGCAATCCAAACTGTCAGATATGCTTACTAATTATATTTGGGGTTTTTTTTATTCAAGTTACATGTTTTATAGAATTTGAGGAGGATACTTTATTCAAAAGCACTGATACTACCATTGTAGAATGTGCTGTGAGATACAGTACATTAAAGCATAAACTGTGTCTTTAAACTTCCCTCTTTAACAATAGTTTAAGTGCTTAGATGTGGTGGTTCAGATGCTTTAGGCTATCAGATTATGGCATTAGCTTGAGAAGAAATGGAAGAAGCCTTAAGCTACTTGACAGTGTGTTCTCTAACCTGCATAGTTCTCTCCAGTACATAACTGAAGTTGTAAGTCAGTTTTTCTTACATATAAAATTTTACTGATCATCCTTTGATATGGTATTCTTGCTCTTAGTCTGAGGCTTGAATATTTCTAGGGAAGCAAAGGAAGAAAGCTTCACAAGACTTAATGTATTTTTAAAATTATGGCTGTGGGAAAGACTTTCAGTCTGTCCACTGTTTCTCTCTGACTGTGTGCTGTTAGTGCTTTTCAAGCTCATCAGTTGCCAAAAGTTACTTAAAGAGATGGCTTAGATTGATTTTTAGTGTGTTAGTGAACTGCACCTGTAACTTGGGACTGCTGAGTCTCTCTTGCTGCACTTGGTAGCCAGTGTGAGTCTGCAGGGATTTATCTGACTTTCCCTTTGGCACACTTAGCTGTCTAAATGGATGCAGTTTACTCTTTTTTTTTTTTTTTTTTTAATTAAATGTTAGCTTCTGGGAGTTTAGTTTTATAACATTTAGCACAGGGGGGTAAACCACATGTCAGTGCTGTTGTGGTGGAGGGCATGGGGGCTTAGCCTACGCTTAGCAGAGGGATGGGATGCAGTTATGAGATTCATTCATCCATTGCAATTATGATATTCATTCATCCAGTGTAACAGTTATGTAGTGCTGACAGAGGAGACTGTCTTTGTGTCTTCTGATCCCACTGACTGTGTGATGGCCACAAACTCTCCACCGTACACTGTAATGCACTAAACTAGCAGAAAACTACCTTTCTGGGTTTTTTACTAGGCTTAAGGCAAGTGAGACCTTGGAACCAGAAGCAGAGAGCCCCCATGCAGTTCCTCTGCATGTACCTTAAGCTGTAGCTTGTATTACTCTGTTAAGAATTCTGTATGTGGCTGTGAAGGCAAGTCTGTGGAAGTATGCATTGATTATCACATTACTGGACAAGTGCATTTTCTTTCATGGTGAAACAATTGTCGTGGTGAACCCCTAATGTCTGCATAATTTCATGTTTGTACATTTTGAAACCAAAAGAAAAAAAACTGCTTAAAGAGGATGTGGGGTTCAGATTAATCATTCCAGATTGAGCTTATTTTATCAATAAAAAAGCTATTAATTACTACTATTAAATTAATCCCTCTATGTTGTGCTGACTCTGGTGTTTGTAGAATTCTTCAGTGAGTTGTTCTAACATCAAAGGGGAACCCCTTGCCACATCCAAAATTTTTCTTATTCTGTTTAGTAAGTTCAGCTCATTTTAGAGAGGTGCAATGAGTTTGTCTAAGAGGGGAAGATGGCAGAGAGGAGGAGAAAATGCTCCTGCTATGAATAGCAGCAAGCAATTACAATGGATCAGCTTCTGAATGTGCTACCTAAGCCTCATCTCCTTGCCTGTGCTGGAGTAACACAGAGGATAGTTGCAGTTCCGTTCCAGCTTTGAATAGGGGTTATAATTTTGTTTAACTCTCAGACAAAATATGTATTGTAAGAGGTGCACTGAGAAGCTGAAGGGTTTAGAACTTTTATATCATCTTATGCTTCAAATGTGATACTTGGTAGTGTTTTCAAGTTTGTAGTTAGATTTTGGGAGGAATTAGCTTAGTTCCAATCAAGTTTATTAACCACAGAAAAAAGTCTAGAATTCTTGTTTTCTGTGATTGTATGTGTAGGGCTAGTTCAAGATTCTTCATGAATATAAAGCCTCTTGAGAGCTTTTTCTGTGAAGAGGCAGAATTGTGATTCTAAATTGGGCATCTTTTGAGATACGAGTGAGAGTTCTACTCTAGTGTCTTATTCCAAATAATTTGATCTTGGGTAGACTAAGCTTTTGTGTTCTTCTTAAGTACAGTTGTAGAGAGCTGCAGAATAAAGATGAAATCTGAAGAGACTGGGAGAGGGATATGAGCAGAACCCATATCTGATAGAAATCTTAGGATAGCTAACTCCACTGCCTGTAGACATGCTGACAAAATAGTGGGAATTCCAATGAGTTTGCTTTTAATAGAAGTGGCAGAGTCTGGTCATTGAACTGCACGAACTCTTATCTTGTATCTTTTATTTGGCCTGGTTTAACCCATGAAAAGAAAACAAAAAGTGTTTATCCAGATCATAAATCAGTTTGCGAATAGAGATTCTGGTATTCTGTTCTTGCTGTTTAAATAAACTAACCAAATCAGCTTGTTCAGAGGAAAAGATAGTATAGCCAAAATTTCTTTGCTAATAGTAGATTAATAAAATTTATTTCAATGTTAGAATGTCTCTGTCCCCTTTACTGGTGAAGTTTTTCACATGTTGGAAGGTAGTCCTTCAACTTTTGTATTTTTAAGTATTTCCTTTGAAAAACCTTAGCTTGCTTTCTCTCTGTTTCTAACTTGAAGTTCAAGTTGGCATTTTTTCTTCTGCATATCAGAACCACAGGGATTTGTTTATCCATGAGAGAGAGAATTTGGCACAGACTTTTTGAAATGCAGCTTGCTACATCATTTCCTCTGAGTAGCTGTAGATGTGTAAAGTGTGAAGTGACAACTGGTGTTCTGAGGATTTGTAAGACTCAAGTTGGCGTGATGGAAGTCCTGGAGACCTACAGAGGAATCTGGAAATTTCTTAGGGGAGAGATGTGTGTATATAGACTTCAGTATGACTCATGCTCTAGCTAATTCAATGTAATTTGAAACTGATGAGCTCTGAACAGTTGCTGATGCTAATAATGCATAATAAGGGTCTTGTCTCTTCAGTCAGAGTAAGACCTATTACCTATGCAGTATGTGGGGGTAGAATAGCTCAAAAAAACCTCCCACATTTTTTATCACCATTCTAATTATCAACATTACTGAGACGGTATGTTGTACTTGCAGTACAGAACATTTGTTAGTTTTTGCATTGATTGAGGAAGCATGAGATCACTTTTACATGCAGTGGTATAGATTTTATAAAAAAATTAAAACATGCTGATAAGGATAACATGGGGCTCAGGTTTTGCATGATCTAGATGATCCATATCTTTTCTAGTGCACCTTTCAAGGTGCTCAGTGTCATCTAGCTGTCATGGCTGCTTGGTTCCTACTGAGACTGATTAAGGAAAAAATTCTTAGGGGTCATTACTATGGCTGTCTGTCCTGCCTGACTTCAGTTGTGGATGTCACTTGGAAGTGGGTTTTACCTTGTGTTGCCTATTTAAAAAAACAAAAAAACAAAAAACAAACAAACCACTAGTTTTTGTGTATATTGAAGTCCCGGTGATGTAGATATATTGAGATGACTTGTGACAGTCCTGAAAATCAGGACTTCTCTGAACTAGCTGGCTCATTGGAAGATGTGACTTCAGATATTTGCAGTCAATTTTTAAATGACTACTACATTGTAACTTCAAACTTCATCTACAAATTGAGTTTGTAATTGAACAGATGATATTTGGACACCATGTGCAGTGGTATCATTAGCATACTTTTTCAAAATAAGCTTTTATTATGACCTCTTTTTAATTCAGTGCAGTAGCAGAAAGTTAAACCGTGTAAAAACTGGAATTTTCATCAATTTGAAATCCAGATAATTTCTGTGTTTACCGTGATCCTAGTTCTAGTAAGTGTGGGAATGGTTTAACAGTTGCATTTTAATCAGTGTAGTCTTTGTTGCCTTCTCACTCTACCTATTTGCTTTTCTTTTTCTGGTGACCAAAGGCTGCTGGGTTAGGTTCCTTAAGGACCAATTGATTTAGATCAAACACCAAGTATTAGAAAAGGATGTGATAAATAAGCATTGTATTTATGTATCTACAATTTGCTTTTCTGAGGCACATCATGGTGCCAGGTTTGAAATAATACAGGTGGATTATATGAAAATACTTTCCCTGCATATTCTAATGAATATAATTAGCATTTTGCATCCTAGTTATCAAAAAGCTTGTGCGGGTAAAATATTTGCACTACTAATTTGGTCAGCTTTTTATACTGAAGAAAAAAACCACATTTGTGTTAGGGTTCTGTTTGTTCTTTTTGTAAGTGTAAACAACTTGAAGGCAGCTGAGCCTGGCAACCTAGTCCGTTTGGTTATAATATCAAGTAGAGTTAGTTTAATGATGCTGTGGAAGGACTGAGAGACTTTATTCAGCAGCTTTATTCAGCTTGGGAAGCTGAATATTGGCACGCCTCATGTATGCGACAGACCATAGAGGAAGAAGATCAAAGCAAAAGAAAGGCTGTGGCTCTATCAGAACCAGTGTAGGAAAACTTGTTTTGATGTAGAATAATTTTTAAAATGTTGTTTGTAAGCTACAAATTAATTGTTAAATCCTTGTAATGCCTTTATGCAGTACAGTGGTGATTGTACCTGTGGTGCAAGTGAGAATGACAGCCATTTTCTCAGAAAATGACAAATATTTTTGCATTG